AAAAAAAAAAAAGCAGAAATAATAGAGAGAAGAAAAATGTAAATAAAAAAAAAGAGAAAAAAATTTTTTTATTCAGTGCTGTTTGGCAAAGCTAAGAGATTCGAGATTGTGAGATTGGTTATTGATGACTTGTTGGCAGCTCCTGTCATTCAGTACATTGTTACAGATTTGATAGACGTAACACTCACGTAATATCGGTGAGGCTCTTCGACCGTGTCAACATTCTTTGTCCATCACCATCACAGTATTCGTCAGTGCCTTATGAATATACAAAACTATATGCAGTAAGTCCTCTCAAACTGCATTTTTTGCTTTTTTTTTTTATCTTGTTTTTTTTTTCTTCTGTATAAAGATAAGTATCAGAAAAAATGTTATCTGCAAAAAAAAAATTTTTGTATACAAAAACAGTGTATCCTGGACAAGCAAAAGTACAAGTGACAAAAGGGTGAGTCTAAAACTTTTACCTAGATCATATCTGGTTACAAACAGTCATTCAATATCTCCTTTTCTTTTTTCTTCGTTTGACTTTTTTATCTAGCCAAATAAACGGGTTTAAGTCTTTTAGTACTACAAAAGAATTGTTTGTTTGATCATATATTGCATGTAGTTTTACGGTTACATAGTATTATAATTGCTTAATGGAGCGTATGCAAATTTTTTTTGTTTTATAGGCCTATCTGTTATCATATTTCAATTGCATTTTGATACCCTATCTATAGACAACTAAACTGGTCGTATAGAAAATTCATTGACCGTAAAAGAAACACCAGTTTTTTAGTATGTGATAACAGAAAAAAATTTTTTAATCAGATTTTGTTGACAACTGACAATAGTGCTTTTTTAGGCGTACTATTTGTTGGATTCTATGACTGTTTTGATATGGTATCACAGAACTGTAGTAACTTTCAACAAAGCGTGATTGTCAGTTTATTTACAATATTAACTTTATTTTTGGTTATTTGTTTGCCAGGTTTCATCAGACGGTTATGACGTATGTGAATTACAAGATGAGAAACCAGTTGGTGTTTGTCAAGATCCGTTTCGACAGTCAACAATAAGTATTACATTCAGAAATTTTTCGCCATTACCTGGAGCACTAGAATTTAAGCCGGGCAAAAGCTATTATGTTATATGTAAGCTATGAAGTCCTTTTATCTGGTCACTTGTAACAACTAGTAAACATAAAGTTAAAAGTTATCTTTAGATTTAAGTATTTCTGAAAAATTATTTGCAATTATTTGAAGCACTCGATACAAATAAACAAATTTCAGCAACGTCTAATGGAACTAAGGAAGGAATTGATAACCGTTTCGGCGGTTTATGCGAAAATAAGCATATGAAACTGAAGTTTGAAGTTCATTCTGGTATGTTTAGAATTAAAAGCAAGACAGCGAGTAGTTCTGTCCCAAAAATTTGATATAAGAGTTTATTGAATTTATTTTCTTATCTTATTTTAAAACTCAGCATATAAGTCTTTTATTAGAGTTATATGATTTCTGTTGCAATAATTACAATGGCAGTGTCTTGATTTTTTCAAACTTGCCAACTGCGCAGAGAGGCTGTTGGAGTTTTGAGACAGATGAAATAGACTGCCTAAGCACAACCAAGTAGTGCCAAGAATGCCTAACCTGAACTTTTGGGAAGTGAGATGGTAGGGACAAAATTTAGGCTAGTGAAAAAGCTGGAGAATTGAGACAAAAAAAAGCACTGGCATTTTCAAAAAGATGGAAGAGGAAAAAGTTGTTGCGCCAACCGGGAGTTGAACCCCGGTCTGTACCGTGGGAGGGTACAATGATACCGCTACACCATTGGCGCCGCGGTAGTGGTTTATTTTACAAATCATTCATATGCCGCCAAATTTAAATTTTCTGAGCGTTACCATTTATTTCAAAGTTTTTAGCAACTGTTAGCAAAAAAATTTCACCTTTCAAACTTTTAAACAATTTTTTATCAGTTTCACAGAATTAATTAGAATTATTTTAGAGAAAATAAACCAGCTTGAAGATTATACCGAAGATCAGAGTGCAGATATGCAGCGGCCACTTCAGTAAGGCATCATTTTCTTCCACATGAACGTTGAATCTTTAACTTTAACGCCCTAAATTGGATACACTGCTGCTTTAAATTCAGTCTGTTTGTTTGAAATTGGTGAAAAACAACATAAGTTTTAGGCCACCAGAGATGTCGACTCCTCTGTTGTACATAATTCATACAAGCGATTCTAATTCGGACAATTATTTTGCTCAAGGTAGCATAAACTATGTTATGGCATTTAAATTCCCAGAGAAGCACTAAACCAAGTAAAAATAGTAGCTTTTGAAACGCGTTTTGTTGAAGACATAATTGTGGTACTAACGTGGTCTCTCTCGTTTTACTGTTATTGTTTCTGTTGCTGGCCAACAAATTGATGACCTTAAACAAGATTTTAAAGCTTCTGACATTCTATGCAAAAGAAATACATTCAACTATTGCTCATTTGGATTAGAAATTTCAGATGAAGATGATGATGGAGCTTCAGGTTTGTTGGTGCCAAACCTTATGTTAATTATACTCAGTTGCTGTCTACTATGCATAATAGGACGATGAGAAAACTTGGTTTGGTAGTTTTTTACCAAACTGATGACTTTCGATATCAATGCGGGGCTTCACTTTCAGATTTCTGTAATCGTGATGTGATTATTTTACCTTATTACAGTTTTCAAGTGTTCTTTAGCTATGCATTATGAATTCTATAGTAGTTTATGTATTGCATCTTAAAATAACGAATGTGAAAATTTTAGTTCCTTTGGTTGTTTTGTTTCGTGCTGTTTTTTTTTCAACATAGAATCTGTTCCGGAAACAAATGTGAATTTTTGACATTTGCTTTCAGAGTAAAAAAAAAAAAAAAGAAAACATGCGTTTGAAAAAGAAGACAAATATCTAAAATTTTTGGAAAGATTTTTTTTTTGGAAAAATTTGGTTGTCAAAAGATCATATTTTTGGTTTTGGACGTCGAAAGCTGTGATAGTAGTCTTTTTTTTTTCATTTTTTTATTTTTAGGAGAATTTTTTTTTGTAATGTTTACTTTCCGGTGCTTTTTGAAATATTCTTTGTCTTTTTTTTGTACACATGCATAATTTTATATATATATATATATACATATATTTTTTGTTATCATTACTTAACTTTTTTTTGATAGACGAATTATTGAACAAAAGTGTAACAGAAGAAGAAAATTTTTGTTGATTTGAAAAATAGTAAAAAAAAATTGGAGAAAAAAAAAGGTTTTTTTTTGGACACCACATATATTGAAGAAGGCATTGTCAGTGTATCAAATTAAATCTGTATTTAAACTAAGTTTATTGAATTATTGTGATAACAAATTGTTTCTTCTTTTTGCAGTCAATAAACAAACAAATTAAAACATTAGTTATCAATAAACAGATTATTCATAACTGAAAAAAGACAAAAAAAAAGACTGTGAAAACTTTTAATTATAAAACTGAATTTAGAAATTAACATACTGTAAGGTGAAAAAATTTCAATAGATACATTGCTTTTCTTTCTAGCCAAACAACGTATCGACATAATTTTAACCAATTTTTTTTTTTTTATCCGAACATTAAATGATACTTTCATTGTTATCAAACTTCGTTGAAAAATCTGATAATCGTTATGAACATTTTATAGCTCAAAAGAGGAGCAAATTTATCTGGTGGTCAAAAGCAAAGATTAATTATCGCTTGTGCTTTATTGCGTAAACTGATTTCAAAGCAGCACCTGTAGACGTCATAGTATTCTGTTGGTAAATCTGCAGTAACACAGTTTACCTTTTAAATAATCTGATAAGAACTATTAGCAGTATTAAATTTTCTGGTCAAAAATAGTTCAAAAAGCGCTTAGTTTTTTTTTCTGATGCAATCACTTGTTTTCTGTGAAACATTTGTCACATTTGTTGTACATTTTAACATTTGAAGAACATCAATTTTAACAAGGCTTTTGATACCATAAACAACTGTTCGAAAAAAAAAAGCTGAATTTATTTTTTGCAACAGTATTGGCTGTTTTGGCTTTGCCATCTGAGAAGAAATTCATTTTTATGCTGTTTTAAGCTGCTGCTTACAGGATTTTTTCAAGCACCAAAAAAAACATGTGTAAAAGTTTGTTTTGAAAGAGACAAACCGTAGTTTAAATATTATATCTGATTCCTGATAAGTTTCTGGACCTAACATGACAAACTAACATCGTTGTGCTATATAGTTTGCTTTTTTAGGCAAAGTAAAATGTCGAAGAATTACTGTTTTTAATTTTTACAATTGCTGAAGTTAATAAATTTTTTTTTTTGTAAAAAACGAATGAATATTTTTAGTTTGAAAGAGTTAACAATAGAAAAAAGGTGTGTTCATTGAACTGTCTGTTCATTTTGCTATAATTCACTCAGTACTTTATTTTACTAGACAATTTTCAGTACTGTTGTAAAACAAGTTTTAAAACTGTAAAATTTTAACTCAAGTTTCCTCTTTTTTTTTTTTACTTTTTGTAGAAAACACTTTTTTTTTGTTAATTCTCTCCATTTTACTCTCTTTTCGCTTATTTATTTCGCACTTTTATAAAAAAAAAAAAAAACCAAATAACCATTATTTGAACAATTTTAAATTAGAAGAAATAATAAGATAAACAGGGAAAGAAATGAACAACAGCATTAAAAAATCATTTCTTATAATTTTTACAAGCAATTTCACTAGGTTTACCCAAATGACATTTCAACTGTGACAAACTGAACACCCATAGTACAATGATTGAAAAATTGTTGAGAAACAACTAAAAAATAGAAAAAAAAAACAGGAACAGGAAACCAGCGGACTGGTAAAGGTTAAGCAGTAAAAAACTATAGTGCTTTAGACATAGTTATTAGGTTGCAAAAAAAAAAGACTTAGTTTAAGCTACCTAAACAAAACTTAAAAATCAAATTTTGCAACATCATTCAGTCAAGACTAATAACGTTTTAGCTCTAATATAATAAACAGTGCTGTTCAATAGAAGAAGAAAACAGGCAACAAAAATAAGAAGAAAAAACTATAGGTGGAAACATTATTATAGTGCTCTTATCACAGTTTCTTATTAAGAAACATTTGACTTATAGCAACTGATAAACCTTACTGTAGTAGTAAACAAGATTTGCAATTATTATGTTAAAAAATTCTGAATAATGTGACACTAAAAGTTGGTGGTTAACAGAAATTGTTAAAAACCAACAGTAATGATCAAAATTTGTTCCCTATCTATATAACTTTTACAGAATTACAGATTCTGATCAATTTTGTATTCCTCAAAGTAACAACTTTATCTTCGTTTGTTGGTTTTCTTTTTTTTGACTATTCTCATAAAAAGCAATTCTAAAACTGCAATTAAGTTTAATTAATAGAAACGACATTATTTCAACTCAGTCATATTTAAGTTTAGCAAAAAAGACTTTGCTCTCAGATTTAATTTTTTTTTTTTTTTAAATGAGAATATTTAAACTTAAATATTTTTGACTGCATTTACTAAATTTGATAAATAAAAAAAAAGTATTTTGGAAATCTGTCAATTTTTTTTTTCTGAATTCTAGTCTTTTTTTTTTGTTTATACCAGAACTGCAAACCAGAAACAGCAAATGGGATAAGCAATAAAAAGTATTACAAAAAATTTCTCTGTGCTTTAGGTTATTCATTTTTTTATTAGGGTAATTCAGAGTAACAAAAACCTGGGAAATTTATACACCTACTATAATGTTGAGATTTAAACTCATACTACCCGACCAGTGCTAGTTGAAAGTCATATTAGAGATAGTAAAAAGTGGATTAATAATTACCGAAGAGGTTGTCTGAAACCAGGTTTTTGTTCACCATATTGAATTCATACTATAATATGATGTA